TAACAAAATGTACTTACAGTAAATTCTGAGTAGTAGTTATAAAAAAGTTTTAACAGTAAAAGTTGTCAATAAGAAGAATTAAACCATTGCATGGCCCGACATAGTATTATTTTCATCATATATATTTTTATTTTTAATATAATTATTAATGCCTAAACTGAATTTTAATGTTATCAAAGTGGAGCTAATTGTAAGTACCTATGGATAATTTAGTCTTTACTATTTTAGTATGATCTTATATTTTTATGTAAAATCCTTAGCAGCAAATAAACTAATTACCAACTACAGTGGTAAATAAATGTAGTGGAATAAAAAGTCATAGAAGAATAACATTTTCCCCTGAAATGTAGTGCAATAGTATAAAGTATAAAGCAGCATAACATATTAGTACACAAGTAAATAGCACCTCAGAATTGTACCTAAGCTACTTTAAATAATATAATATAATATATAGTGGTAAATCTTATCTTATCTATCTAATATTGTTTGAAAACCAGAAAGGCGTTCATATCGATGACATTTCTAAATGCATTTTATTGTACTATTTTATTATATGTTGCTTCCAAATAATATTTCACATTATCATATTTGCTCCCATCCACAGCGATCTAAAGATCAAACAATCACATATTTTGGAACCGGTTAATGATCCTAGCGATACATGCCAAGTGTGCACAGTCCCTTGCCATACCAAGCTGACGCCCATGGGTGGCAGGGCTGTTCCGGACCACTGGGCTGGAGGTGGGAGGGGGTGCGGTGCGGTGGGAAGGAAGGCGGACGGACGAGCGGACTGCTCTTTGATTGGTCGGCGGCGTGCGCGTCCCCGTCGTCTCCTCCCGGTTTTCCTGGCATGACCTTTTCCCTTGGCAACCACTTCCTCCGAGCATCCACGGCCATCTTTAATTTTAACTCATTCATGAAAAGTTGTGTCTCGCTCATGTAAACACGCCGAGCGAAAAACATTTGCGCACAGAGCAGCATCGACGGCGCTGTGTGCATGTGCAGGTCTCCGGCGACAGGCTCCGAACAGAGCAGAGCAGCACCGCAGCAGCAGCCTGTCCGCAGAGATTAAGTAAACACCGAAAGCGTACGTGCATTATTGTTCTTGTGCATCACGCTGGCACGTTTCCACTCGTGTTTTTTTTTTTAGGGGGGGCTGATGTTTTTGCACCTTATATTCTCTTAGCTAAAAACAGTCTGAATGAACTGTTCTGTGAGATAGTAACGTGTTGCGTTGTTCGGACTGAGAGAGTAGTATGTGGTGCTCCCGAAAGAGACAGCAGGTGGAGCGCTAGAATAAAAGTGTGCGGATCATTGTCTGAAGGGCACAGCAGAGCACTCACCGCCACTGCCGTGTTGTTCTGCAAACCCCCCAGCAACAGGGAGATAAAAGTGTTTATTTCTGACATCCCTGTGGAGTTTTAAACAAACAAACAAACAAACAAACAAACAAGACCCCTTATGTTTTGTTTCCATCTGCTCTTGAATGGCTTGCCAGTAACGCAAGCTGGTCGTCATTCATTTGCTTTTTTTTAATATATATTTAAAGGCAGGATGAGAAAGAAGCAGACTGCCAAACAGAGGAAGACTGAGGAGACTACTGTTGTCCAGGAGTTTGTGGTGGAAAAAATAATTCGCCGCAGAGTCTTTAATGGCCGAGTGGAGTACTTCCTGAAGTGGAAAGGCTTCACCGAGTGAGTCAAATGTTGCAGGATCAGCATTTTTCTCGCTAATATTGTGCAATAATTGTCGGTTATGCATGATTTTTTAAAGCGTATTGTCTCCTCCCTTTTGATGCATTTACAGTGCGGAGAACACATGGGAACCTGAGGACAACCTGGACTGTCCTGAACTCATCGAGGAGTTCCTGAGAAACAGCCATTTCTCAGAGGGGATTGAGGAAGAGCAGACTGAAGATTTCATACCCAAAGAAGAAATGACAGAGCAAGAGAGGGAAATTGTGAGTGTGAGAAATGCAGGGTGAAGAGGCTGTGAGTTTATGTTGTTTTCATGTTATTCACAGAACTTCCTCACCTAAAACAATGTATTATTAGAATCCCTTTGGAGTGCATTCATGGCTTTAGGTGGACGCTGCATTGGAGTCAGGTGAAATCATGTGACAAATGTTGGCAGACGGTTCCTACTTTTTTTTTGAGAGTTTTAGGGCTGAATGTGAAACTAAATGGTGTGTGAAGGTGGTTAGTTTTGCAATGCCCCTGAAAGTGAAAGCAATTAAATTTCCTTTTTTTCGCAATGCCACGTACAGTAAAAAAATAAAAACCACAACTAAGCTGTCTCCTGATGCAGGTTCTGTCTTTGTGTTTTTTTCTAACTGCTGCTTCTTTGTCCTTTGTCATTCTCTTCGCAGTCCTGCATGCACTCCCAGCAGCAGGCTCACACTGTGCAGAGCAACAACAATGTTCTTGAGCCAAATGACGAGCAGTCAGACACCCCCACTAACCTCAGCACTTACCTCGAGCCTGAATGCATCATCGGCTCCACAGACAGACAGGGAGAGCTCATGTTCCTAGTCAAATGGTAACTCTGCTGCTTCCTCTTTTCTCTGTCCTTGAATGAATGCCAGGGGTTGGGTACATGTTTACATGATGGTAAATCTGCACTTTACATGTTCAGCATACAGCGAAGATGATGGGAGCATTTATTGTCGGGTTTATGGGGATGTTTCGTCTTGTTGTTGTAGGTGTGCAGTGTCATTTACCATGTGCGACCATGTACTGCGAATATATCATTAACTAAGAAGACAAAGTCAGATGACATTGACATTAAACACCTGACAAAACATTCCTCAGATTAGTAATTTATTATGGAGAGCATGTCTGACACAGTCCATATGCTTTGCATCTTTAAAGGGGAATTGCAACAATTTTACACATAAGTAATAATAAGTTTATTAGTCATGGTACGTACTAAGTACTACTCAGCCTGTGGAAACAGTTTATCTGTGGTTCTGAAGGAGGTTTGCTATGTTTGAGAAAATTAATCTTAGCTTTGTAAACAGAAGGTCTGGTGTGAGCATTTACCATGAATTAAGGGGCAAACAAAGGGAACTCCAGCAAGAAAACTCCTCTGACAAGAAAGTTGACCACTTCCTCTGACAACGCAGAGTCATCCAGCAAGCCACTGTGTTTGCCAATCAATTATTTGCACGCACATATTCCTGGTAGATAACTTTTTTAATGTCAGAGTTTTTACTGTCTAAGACAAAAAGATTCCTGCCATGATAACTTTCCAGAGTTGTGAAATCATTTGTCTATTGTAAACTGCTGTGCAGTATTCAGTCTAATAGACCTTCAAAATCATGGATCTGTTACTCAAACTGAGCTTCCTGGATTGTTTTTGGCCTGAATTCCCACCAATTTATTTTTACAGTAAAGGCATTATGGGAAGTGGAGGCTCTAGCATTTTGGTTTAGTTGGATGCATACAAGGCAAGACAAGTTTTTATTTTTATTTTTATTTATCAACACAAATCAAAATGCTTTGCATAAGATGAAGAAATTCATAAGAATAGTACACAATAAAATGTAATAAAATGAGATAAAAGTTAACTTTATCGAAATGCAGTACTTAACCGCTGTATTATGCCTTTAAGTCAGAATAACTGTTATTGGATATCTGAAGAAATACTGTAATCCGAGACCCACTGTACTGAAAAGAATGCACCGATTTGTGATTCAGTTCCTTTAGCCTTTCCTCCTTCACACGAACCTTTCTTCTACTGACAGAAGAGTGTGTGTTTCTGCTGAAACATTTGACATGCATTAAAAGTAGGAGGCCGCCATCTTAATGGTTTCCTTCTCCCATGTGTTTCCCCACAGGAAGAACTCAGATGATGTGGCCCTGCTGCCGGCCCGCGAAGCCAGCGCCAGGTGTCCCCAGGTGGTCATTGACTTCTACGAGCAGAAGCTGACGTGGCACTGCGGAGATGAGGAGCAGTGAAGTGTATGTGGGTTGTGTGTACAGAGGCGAACTGATAAACAGCTGTGCTCTCACCTGAAGCTTAGTTTAACCTCCATCGAGTGTCCTCCTTCAGTTGACATTAGAGGCACACTGTGTGAAATTGCATCCCGCTGCGGGTAGAGTTTCAGATTCTGGCAGGTGTGAGATCCTCAGTGGGGATGGATTTTAAGTGGGTCTCGGTCCTATGGTGCTCAACGAGGTCTCTGTGCCTTTGTGGAGACTGCGATGGAGACTAAAGCTAATCTTTGTGTGGAGCAGGTGATTTGAGGTCAGACTAACCTGTAGCAGCTTTGATCTTGTGTAAGCAGACACAATCACTGTGGATATGTGTTTTGTTTTTACTGTTATATAGTAATTTAGTATTTATAGTCCTGTTTAACTACAAGGATCTCTGTTATTTAGTGTGAGCCCAACACTTTGTAGGCAGAGTGAACTAACTGCTGTCCAGTCAGTACCTCCAGTCTATGTAGCTTTTAGTTTAAGATGAAGATTGTAGACCCGTTGTTCGAACGTTTTGTTGTTTGAACTTGTATTGTGTGAGGTGTTTATAGCCACAGCTTTTACTGTGTCTCACTGTGTCTCTGTATGACCCTTGTGGTTGATGTGAAATATTTCAAAATGTTGCCCATCAGAAATGTCCCCATATGTCCAATCAGCTGCTAAGTACCAAATGTTCTCCTCTCAGCTGTATTGAATTATAACAATAACATTGTTGAGTTTTTAAAATATTATTTGACACTTACGCAAAGTGCAAAGTCCTAGCAAAATTACTCAAAATGTGATAGTATTTCTAAAGTAAATCTATTGAGATTTTTGTGCACCTGTGATGGCTAATAAGATTGTTAAATGTAGCACTTTAGATATGAGACTGATTATGCAGGACACTGTCTTCCAGTAATTAAACAGGTCCATGTATATGACACCTGTATCCTGATGGCACTGTCCTGACTTGACATATCTCCCATGACTGTTATGGGACACTCAGCTGAACCTTACACCTCCTAAAACACACCTGCTACTGAATTACTGTAACTATTGACCATGATTCTGTGAAGTCTCTGTGAATAAAGGAAACCTTTTGTGAAGCATTTCTCTCCCTTTGTCAATCAATAAGCAGTAAAGTGATAAGTAGTAGTAGATACTGTAGTCATGATGGCACGTGTAATGCCAGCTCTATTATTGAGTAATCAGGGAGTTTTGCTGATTTGATTTGACATTTATGGGAGGAGCTTATTTCAGTCTTGTGACTTTATTTTGAAACCTTTGCTTCTGGACAGTAAAAGTGGAAATAAAAGGCATTGACGCAATGTTAAGCACAGCATTATCTGGCTTACTGTACCTTACTGTTATCCAAACAGGTAATAATCAGATATTTGGATTATGAGAGAAGAAATGGACAATACTGTGTGTCAGGTAAGTTATCCTGTAATGCTGATGAGATTTTTTAAAATTTGTAATTAAATGTAATTTCTAGTTCAGAAGCTTTAAATTCTGATACACCCATACACCAGGTACTTTGTTCCAACCTACAGAACTTTATTTTAAATACCTTCCCAAAGGTTTTTAAGAAATATGGCAAGCTGAATTTAAGGGAAATGTATTTAAAATGATGTGTAAGATATCTAGAATGTTTCCTCTGGATGAAATGGTGCAGCCATAAAATACATGGAATCTTAGGTCTTAATTTATCTTTCAGTATAAAAATGTCATGTCATCAACAAGTCTTGAACAAGATCATTTTAAAGGGGGGAACTGTGTTTAAGTAGTTAAAAATACTTGTGTTTGTTCTCTAAACAAATAAAGGATATTTGGTATGATTTTCCTATCCTCATTTGTCGTGTTGGTCACTGAACTTCCTCTATCTGCCAATAAAAACTTCCCCTTTTTCATAACAATAGTGCATTCAGTTGATTCTCTCTCCTGCCTTCTTCATGCAGCAGGTCATCAGTGTCTGGGTGCGGGACCCACGGATACAAAAGAATGACTTTTGGCATGCCTACATAGACTATGAAATTTGTTTACATGTGAGTAAAATGATAAAGGACGATGTTTTAATTTCAACAATCCAATAGTGGAGCTTACTGTAATATGTGTGTCAAACCTATGTCCTGTTTTAGACCGACAGCGTGTGCTTCACCAAGAAGATCTCAAGTGTGAGAAGGAGGTACAGTGAGTTTGTATGGCTCAGACAGAAGCTTCAAGCTAATTCAATGCTAATGTAAGTTAATTTATTGTATTTTGAAAACATATGCTTTCAGTTTTCATGTTAAAATAATCTGCACTGTGGTTCCTATCATTTTTAGGGTGTATTTGTGTCTTTTGCAGGACACAGCTACCAGAGCTGCCCCCAAAGAACCCCTTCTTTAGCCTGAACAATGCCCAACAGATCACTGAGCGTATGAAAGGGTTACAGAAGTTTTTGGAACAGTAAGAATGACCTCATAGATCAATAAACATATGAACTTTGACATACCACTGCACAAAAACTGGTTAATCACAGTTTCCACGAACGCCAGGCCACATGACTGCTGTTTTCACATCAACAAACAATACAATATACTATACAACAATCTAATTTGTTTATTGTCCTTATATTCCAGGATACTCCAGGACCCTCTGCTGTTGTCCGACAGTTGTCTGCATCTGTTCCTGCAATCACAGCTCAGCATGTCCAAGATACAGGCCTGTGCTGCTGGAAGGACCCACTACTCTGTGGCCCAGGCGGTCCAGCGCTGTGGCCTGAGGCGTTTCCACTCTGAAGAGGATCTGCAGAAAGACCTCAGCATGTCCTGTGACTCTGACTCAGACAGGTATTGTAATGTCACACTTTGGAATCTTTCTCCACTCCAAAAATGCATCTTTTTCCTTCAAAAACCCACCAGTAGAGCCAAAAATGTGTTAGGATATAGTTCTTTTTACATTTGCTTTGTCAGCAGTAAGGCAAAAATATGCTTTTACTTATACACTCGCTGATGTGTTTTCCAGGACGGATAATATGAGAACGCCTTCTGCCTCATTCCCTAAAATATACAACTTAATTCACTTCCCATCCCCTAATCTTGTGTCTGTCATTCCAGCTCAGAATGCAGAAATCCTGAGCCTGGGAATAAAGATTTGGCAATAAACAAAGCAGACAGTACAGCTTCACTTGATCTCATGGGATCCAGCCAGGAGGAAACACTCAGCTGCTCATCTGGTTCTGCATGAAAACATTATCATCATATCACTGGCAGATATGTTTGGACCTGAGAGGAAGAAATTTGCCTGTTACCAAGTCCTACAGCACTTTTGGCTACATGATTGCTCATAATTATTTCACTTATAAGTTATAGCACATTGTATTCTCAATAAGGCATTTCAGTTTAAAACATGTACAGTAAATAGCAATAAAAATGTACCTATTGTATATCCATATACAAGTGTTGTTTACAAAAATGTGCCTGAAGATGGCAGTGTTGTTACATCCATCTGTTTGTATATTCACTTATCCCATGAACATATGCTGTAACTGTCCATATTTACTTCATAAACAATCTTAACAGAAGCCTCACGACTTTTGGTCTTTCACAAGGTGTATTTTGCCACATATGTGCAGATAACAATGCAATATCTTAAAGCAGTGACAGCCTAATGTCTCTCTCTGTGGATGAACTCTCCCTCCTAATAAAGTGTAAGGTGTGGGAAGCTTGTCATCTGGTAGCCACTGCAGTGCTTAGCAGTATGACGTGTAATAGGGTCTCTGCAGAGTTTTCAGACAGCCCCCCTGTCAGGTGTGTGGCTGGTAGGAGGTCCTGTGGGATCCCAATGGACCCGCTCCTGTCTGAGAAGGCTACCAGGTAGACAGGCTACATTGCTCCCTGCTGAACAAAATGCCAGCTGCACTGACAAGCCAACCTTTACTATCTGTCTCTCTCGCTTTGTGTTTGCACGAGCCTGTTCACCACACTCCCATATCTGTGTGTGTCTGAATGCATACATGTGCTCCCACAGTGAGCAGCACTATGCTTATGCAGAGGTAATGACCACTAAACAGTGACAGCAGACTGACATATCTGCACAGCTAATTAGATTAGCTTTGTCTCTTTGCTGCAGTTGTGATATTCATTATAAATTCAGAACAGACAATAGGCTTGTGTTGCAGAGAACAGAGAGGTGACGTCACCTCAGACCTGCCCTGAGCAGCGGAACAGTTTGGACAGTAGGAAAGCCCACAAACTCAAATTGGGGGTGGGACGTCTTCCCTGGCGATGTGTGGGTGTTATATGTGTGTTCATGCGCATCCACGTATGCTAATGCGGTACAATGCATTTGTCTTCTTTGTCAGTGCTTAACAGTGTGGGGCAGTATTAGCCTGCACCTTCAAACACACAATACATCGAGGCTGTCTGTGCTGCAGACGTTAGCTTTAGCTGGATATTCAAAAGAGGTTTATTTATGTCTGTAGTACATCCAGAAAACACACCTATGGTGTTGAAGTGAGGGCATTTTTACACAAATGTGTGCAAGTGAAAAGCCATAGCTTTCTTACTGTTCAGTCTAACAAATGTTCTAACACATTTTTCTTGTCTTCCTGCATCAAATATTTTCAGACAGTTGTTTCTGCAATGTCATCAAAGGAGCAACTCAAAAATAACATTTCATGTGCCACATGTCACTTTTCAGAGACAAACACTAGAAATATAACACTACATATGGCAATCTGCCAACTACATTCTGTTTTTCACATTAACATTTTACATTTAAAATCAAGACATTGTTGGTATTTTATGAGTCAATTCCAGTGTTTTTATACTAAATATGTTTAAATTTAACTTTTGTAAGGCCACCAAAAAAAAAGATTTAATAAAGGCTTCAGCATTTCACCACTCTCTCATCCTTTAGCCCTTCATGTTGGGAAATACATTTTACAGGAAGTATAAATGAACAGTTAACTGAATAAATACACAAATTCCAAGTAATTAAAATATTTTAGAGACCTTAATTTGGTTTCTGGTCAACATTTTATGGCAGTGGTGAGGGGTGTGCTGGGGAGACTTGTGACCTCAGCATTTTTAAACTCCTGGCAACATTACAACCCTGGGGAAGTTAATGTAAGAGGTTGTTAAACACACTAAAAATGTACAGTATGTCACATTACTTTCAGGAAGGGATTTTGTTTTTGAGCATCTACAAAGCTGTCTGCTGTAAATCACACATGCATGTGTCATGTTTCCCCACATGGCTTAGCACTTGCTAACAGGGTTATGTAACAGTAAAGTCTTCTTCTTAATTATAGTCCCATGAATTAAAATGTTTACATTGCTGGTTTTAGCCTAACCTGTCCAGCAGTATTGACTATTCTTTTATTGGTCTGTGACTCTGGTCCATTGGCTTTTAACCTTGAGCCACTGTAGCTTAGCCTGTCAGTGCGGCTCTGCTGCCATGACAACACTGACACATTTAAACCCATCAGATCGATTAACTAACAGCTCACTGCTCCATGTTGCATGACCCTGAAGAGGTCAAATGGAGTGAAAACATGGGGAGCGAGAGAAATCACTCTGTTTTTAGATTGGGTTTAAGTAGGAAAAGTACATGGTAAAGGTTTCCACAAACTTTAACTTTAACGTTTAAACTAATTAGTATGCTTATTGTTTGACACATAAAACAGTAGAAGATGAGATGAAGGAAAATGGCCCCTGTGGGAGATGCCCATCTGCCTCAGACCAAGTCAGCATGTCTTTCTGCAGCGACAGCTCAAATAAACCCCATCTCATGTCTGTGATCTCATGCTTGACTTACTATTCCCTCTGTTATGTAATTAACAAACAAAAAAATCCAAAATCCATTTTATGTGTTGGAAAGAACCGAATTGTCAAACTCAGATATAACAATATGAATCCCAATCAGGCTTGGTTTACTGACAGACTGCACAGAGCCAAAAACAAATGGAAGTATTGAGGGAGATATGCTCCAGTGGAGGCAAATTACAGATAAATCAGAGTCTGCTCATGCATTTTAAGTGCCACATTATACAGAATCCATTAGTAGCAATAGGAGTTCAGCACCGCTTGAGATATTAAATCTCTTTGCCTACAACTCAGTGGAACCAGGATGAGTCAATATCAGAGAAGCCCAGCTGCACTGCCAATAGATAGGGGAAGAGACCTAAAGGAATGATGCCAGAGTTATACAACAAAAACAGTCATATGATAAAGGCAGAGGCTGGTGAGACTGATGTGTTGCTTGTTATACAGCAAGACAATCACATACACTAGGGGCAGATGAAGGTGCAAGGTAAATGATTTGGAAGTCTGGGGTTAATTGAATTGTTAATAACATACGCCTCGGCTTTGAACATTTTTCAAGGTCTCCCACATTTCATGCCAATACTGAGTGCTGATTTATTGAGGGCCACAAAACTTCCACAACCTGACAGCCAAAAAAGGATTTTCAGACATTACATCTGTCCTTGTAGCTGTGTGTCTTTTGTGTGTGTGTGTGTGCTCAAAAGCCAACCCTATATCCTAACACCTGCCTCAATCTGGTGGAAATATACTTTTTCTCAAGGCTGAAACATTTTTCTCTGTCACTCAATTGTCCCAGATGGAAATGAGCTGACTTATGAGCTATCCATCATTCATTACAACCAACAGCCCCGGTACTTTTCCTCTTGGTTCTGCATGGCTTATACCTGCCATTTTCCCTCCACATGCTGCCGCCTTTTGGTGCATGGATGTAGCAATTACTGGGAACGGGCGTGATCACTGTAGCAAGGCGAGCAACAGCTTCTCGTCTCCTGAAATCAGGGCTGATCAGCGTAAAACCAGCTCCTCTGCCTCAAACACATGGGCCTGAGGGGGAAAAGGGGAAGTTGAGATTGCTCCTTCATAATTTCCTGAAATAATATGACATGTCAAATCAGACATGCTTCCTTTGGAGCATACAGACGAAAACAGATGGAGAAGGAAGGGCCTTGTGTTGAGATAAGTCTGCATTTACTGTATATATTTGTATATATTCACAAATATTCTTGAATCAGTTCTAAACAACACATGTTCATATGCATATTATACAACCAGGATCGTTAAGGTTACAAATGAGCTCAGACAAGAGTGTAAGAACTCTGAAATGAAACATGAGTGTTGTACATTGATGCCTTTTACTCATCCTTACATGAATCTGTGTCTTGGCACAAGGGAACAGCCCCTCTCTGTGTCACAACATCATGTGTGAATAAAACCACTCCAGACTTATCTCTTGTTAGAGATGAGGAACAAGTAGAGAGGGAGCTCTTTGGTCAGACCCAGTGCACTGAATGTAGAGACGGCCAGTGGTGGCAGTGAGAGGACGATAGAGGGTGGAGAAACAAGAGTGGAAAAATGGAGGGGTAGAGGGCACTGTCTCTTGAGGCCTCTGTGCCTCGCTGCCAGTGTGTGTAAATCAGCAGGCAGCTCACGGCTGCAATGAGGTAGAAAATAAAAAAAACATAAAAATGTCCGAGTGAAATAAGAGGCAAGGAGAAATCTTTTATGATGAGCCTAAATTCTCCTTACTCTGCAGTAGATCCAGTGGCCGGCTCAGCTTGTCTTCTCCAGACACCGTCCATCATCCCAGTGTCTGCATATAGCCACAAATTACTCAAATTATCCAACTGCTATTCATGTAATACATATGTAATGAGTATCCTAAGTTCACATGATTATCATTCATGGTATTTAAATAGTCCCATGTCAAATTCATTAATATGCACGTGAAATGATGCCAAATCAGAATGTCAGAAGTTGTGCAGAAGTGGTTTAATACATAAAGTCCTGGAGTTCATTCTTGACCACTAAGAACAACCAAAGCAATCTAAAATTAAAGCTGTGCTTACTAGCTTTTGGAGCTGTCAAACTGCTCCTGATGATCTTCTTCAACGAGAATAGGGAAGGTTTAGGTGTCATCACGTGGAAGTGTGGAAGTTCCCTAATTGCTCAGAAACGTAGTGAATTGATCTTTCCATAATACATTATCATATTTATGTTTACCTCATCCATCCCAATTTCAAGCCCTTATCAAGTTTATTTACAGTGCCTATAAAAAGTCCCTTGGAAGTGTCAATTGTATTGTTTAATAACACTGAGGAGTAGATTTATTGTGGCTTTTTGGCACTGATCAACAGAGAAATACTTTGTAATGTTAAAGTGAAAACAGATCTCTACAACATGATCTAAATTAATTAAAAATACAAAATATTTGCCTAAGAATTCACCCCCTTTAATAGGACACATGTAAATCATCACTGGTGCAGCTAATTGGTTTTTGAAGTCATGAAACACTCAAAGTTTCCGTTGAGTATAGATATGTGTATCTGTAAGGTCCACCTTTTGGTGAGTTATCATCATGGCAAAATGTACACAATGAACATAAAGGAGCACTCCAAGCAACTCCATAAAAAGGTGATTGGAAAGCACAAATTAATAGACACATAGCACATTTCTAAATTCCAAGCGCTTTATATAATGCCATACAGTGTATCTTTGATTTCACTCTCACTGGAATGAATAAAATGTAAATGCCTCAATAAAAAAAAACTTTCACAATAAGTGTTTCCAACACTGCTACAAATTTATTGGAATATAGTCAGCAGCAACTGCCAGCAATATTACAAGGCTGGCTATCAACACTTAGACTAAGTTTTTAAAGTAACATAAGAGAATATCCAGTGGGCCAAGGAGGCCAAATCATCTCTGACAGAACTGAAAGGTGCATCAGTCAAAACTGCAAAATGATTTACAGTAAGTGAAGAGAGGCAATCGTGACAATAATGCCACAGACAAACTGCACTGACAAAAAAGGAACAGCGAAGAGTAGGAGCTAACTAACAGGGAAAGGAAATATAGATACAGTATCAGTATCAGTATCAGAATCGGATTTATTGCTAAGTAAGTTTACATATACAAGGAATTTGCCTTGGTGCATTGGTGCATAAGAATCACAATCAAGGAATTTTTAAATATAGATAAAGATAGAATGATCTAAGAGCTGTACAGGTGTGTGCAAAAATTGACCGGGATTATATTTGCAATGTGCAAGATAGAGAACCAACAGAAGTGCATTAATGTAATTTTAAGTTTAATTTCTTTGTCATGATGTACAGTCGTCAGGATTTTAGAAATAGACTTACTTGCCATCAGTTTGTACACTTAATTCAAGTGTTGAAATATATTCTGCAATCTATATCGTAATTGTTGTAAATCCCAAAGCCATCTCCACATAAGTCTTAGGAGAAATGTGAAATCATTTTATTTTGTGTTCCAGTCCAGTAAAGAATGTGGCTGTAAAACTCAGCATGTGTAAGTTTGTATGCCAACTGTAACATGTAAACATCATGGTTGTTTAAAACGCCTCCAAACTCTACATTAATAGCTGAAACATGTTACCGTGGTGTATTTAATGGTAAATCCTGATTATGGTAGTTATGTTATTCTGTTTATCCCATGGGCATTATCATTCTGCACTGATGAGCAGCTTCACATGTACTCTGGGCACTAAATTAGCTCAGGTTAGCTTGGCAGGACTGTGCTTGGACAATACCAAAGCTGACATTAAGTCCGGCGTAATGGCAGCAAATCTGCTATATCCCAGTGTCTCGTTAGCCCACGCAATCTCCTGTAATTCTACCCCATACCTTTACTTCCTCTGTCAAGGGCCTGTCTTACAAAAAAGCTGCTATATTAAGAAGCTGACATTGAGATGGGAACTCAACCTGCCTAACTCTGTGGGTGTACCAGAGGAAAAGAGAAAGAGATGGATCAGTTTGAAATTGGCTGGCAGTCAGGTGTTAGAGGTACAGTGTGTAGAGGTTGTAATTACAGTTAGAGCATCTCTGGCCATATTGACCTCCTCCTGAATTACAAACTATCTTCCCAGACCATCCAGGGTCATTACTCACTCACTAACTAGTAGAGTAAATCAGTGGCACGAGCGCTCACTGGATATTAGAGCCACAGCCGGAGAGTAAAACAGGGCCAGAGTTTATGGAGGATGGATCCTTGTAAAATAATCATGCGAGGAGGATGGACAGGAGCAAGGCGGTGGGAGAATTATAGGCAGGTGGACAAAACACCTGTCCACTATGATAAGCCTGATTTATCCTGGATGACATGTCAGCACATAGCTCTAACCTGCTGACAGCCTGGACTGCCAACCCCACGCCCTGGAAATGGGACATGTTTGTAAACAGTGAATGCATACATAGAGAGAGATAATGATAGGCCTCTGTCGGAAACAACAGCTTCATCAGCTTAACATATCAGCTGGGAAATGATGGTGTTCAAGGTCAGCATCCAGGGGTTCGATGGTGAAGTTTTCAAGGCCAGAAAGTGGAGCTCCATGTGTCTCCCTCGCCAGACAACCAGACGCTGGTAACATGTGAAGAGAGGTGGTGTGGTGCTGTTAAATAAATGACCCATTAGACCCATATTTACTGGCCAGCCACAAACTCTGGTCTTCCGCTCATAATATTGCACATTAGATATTGAAAAATCACTGAAAGGAATTAAAATCCGAACCTCAAATTCCAGAAATATGAATTTTCAGAACAGGCTGTCATGATCTTTGTTAGCTTTCACTTTAAATACATCGTGTCTTCTCACAATGTCATAAGCCAGCTGAGGAAACCTTAATTTGTCAGCTGCCATGAGTTATGTTAACAGAAACTGACCTCAATTAAGAGTGACTTGCATTTAAAAAGTGTCTATTTCAGATTTGAAGATTTAGACCAGGGGGAGAGGCTTTAATGGAATGCTGACAGAGGGCCAGTTGGAGAGGTAATACATTTCCTGCAAAATGCCAGGGGATACCACATAAATAAGGCAGTGTTATTCCTGACAGAAACTCTCTATGAAGCTGTGGTGTGATCTACAGCTGAGTGACCCGGTTAAAGAGCAGCAGAAACAGCTGACAGCTTGATCAAGATTACCTCTCTAAAGTGGTATAGATCAAGCCTTCTCACCAACCCCAGGGGTGATGGTATGAAATGGTGATGGTACACGATGATACTCAACAAAGATGGAGCAGCTTATCACCGTGTGCAGGGGGATATGAGTGTTCTGATATTGTCCTGGAACTGCCCAGAAAACATGCGGAAACGGGGGATGAACCAGTACAAGTAACTTATGTATGTTATGGTTGTAAGGCTGTGGAAGAATTAACATGAGCACTAAATTGTCAGTTTAAAATGACTATGAATGTTTTCTGTCCTGAGGAGAAATTTGTTTTATATTTCCATCATCTTTCTCAGCAAATCTAATTTTATTTATTATTACTCAGCAGCTCAATCTATATATATTTGGCTGGTAAAAGTGTATCTTTATGGTTGCAAGTATTAATTAGTGATATTCTGGTATCATTAGTGTAATTTAGTGCTCACTAGATTAATGGCACACTGGCATTTATCTATGAAACATTATATCTTGATGTTAAATTGCAATAAAAGAACCTGTATATTCTGAGGATATGGCTGTCCAAATGTAACGTGGGGGGATGGGGGTGTAGTTGACATCCATTAAGGAAATCCTTTATTGGCACATAAAAATGAGAGGCAATATTTAGCCTTACTTGCCTTTGGCAACCTAACCCATAGCCTAACATTAAAATAAGGACTATTAGGGGGAAATACCAAGCAATGTCATGAGAAATATTTGTATTTATGTATTAAATCCACAATTCAACACCAAAACATGCTTTAAGTGTTTCATAATTAGCCTAAATGATGGAATTACACACACTCAGACAATGTCAGTAATGTTTTAGAAATGTTCTCCACTCATTGAATATCATAGTTGCACTACATCCCTTTCTCTGCCCTTAAACAAAGCATTTCCTCTCTATATGCAATGTAGTATATTCAATAACTAATTATGGTAATTCATTACATCTCCAATTAGCAGAGAGGCTTTATCGCTGCACTATACCGTAAAGAGGAGGATTTATGTTGGCTTTGAATGTCACCCAGAGGACAGAGGACTAGCTCATCACTCAACAGGAACAAAACAGAGAGACAGGAGCAAGGAAAAAAATAGAGGGAAGAGGGAGAAAAAGATACAGTGAGTTATTGGTTAATGAACGCATTTTCCTTCCCATTTTCTTGCAACCTTGAGGAAACCTTGACAAGGCCCCTTTTGTCTGTAGCAAACCAAAAAGGAGTGTAATAGATAAAATTGTTGTACAATTTTGGTATTTCATTTTTTTCCATTTCATTATTTTTTAAGGGGGCTGTAAAAATATATGTACAGTATGTATGTAACCTCAGTGGGATATGCCCAGCTAACGCCACCTTGCCTGCTGTCAAACAGCCCCTCAGAGGGCGATAAGGATCCCTGCTATCTGTGTGGGTGGCTGTCTTATTAGTGCACCTCAGCCGTTTCACTCAGGCACGCAGCACAGCCAACCATCTGCCACGCTGTGATCCTCTGCCCAGCAAGTCTCTCAGGTGCCATAAAAAAAATCCAGTGTCCCTTTGAAGCTTGGAACAAAAGTGCTGACCAGATGAATAAACTCATTTAAAAAAAATTATTATTTTTCATTTATCCAGGAGGTTGTGTAAATATGTTTGATGTCCACACATCTGATATTGACAGTGGCCTGATGTTAACTGCACAGCATTACAGAAGGCAAATAAAATTATTCATGAGGCTTAAATTATTATTAAATGCATGCATTCCTCATGTTTAGGCATGTTAATGTTTTTTTTCCCCCAGAAAATACTTCAACAAACCTCCATGACACAATTGTGTAATTAATGTATGCCATCAACCTCCTTCCTCCTGTTTATTCAGAATATCATTTAAAAATATGCAAACATAATTTAAAAGTTTGTGTCCCTAGGCAACAAGACAAATCCCAAAATTGGCATGTGGTATTTCTGACTTAAGCTTCTCTGACACAGAAGTAGTAATCTATGACCTTTGAATAGACTCTATTGCCACCTTGTGGCTCGCCCAGCAGGTTAAAAAGAAAATGAATACTCTGATGTTTAAATCTTTATTGACTTTGCCATTTGCAAATATCAAATTTACCAAAAGCAGAGCATGAAATTGTGTTGTGGAAAAACTGTATCTTGGATAGAAAATAAATACAAACAAGCAGTGCAAAGTGCAGGTACTGTAGAAAAATGCTCTTAAACATGTATTTCAGTCATATGAAAATCCAATCATCCATCTCTCACAGTGAACATGGGAGTGGTCCTGAAAATGACACAATGCATCAATTAAAATACAGTGGTTTAATTCCAGTTATATATTTTGATCCTTTAGCATAAATACAATGTGTTCAATGCAGTCATGAGGTCTGAGCAACTTACACAGGGTGTATTTATAGAGCGTAAAGCTCCATCAGGTAGTCTTTGGGGACAATTCCTACATTTCCATTCTTCTCTCCGACCCACCAGCCAAAGTTCTGGTACTCCTGGAAACAGGACAAAGTGGAGACATTAAGAGGATGTTAAAAGTGTGTATTACTTCATCTCTTTTAATTCATGTAGCTATCATTGAGCATTCAGTGAAGTAAATATCACCATCACTCACCACACCACAAAGTTGAGGTTTATCTTCAAATTCTAAATGTTTTTTAATGGGAGAGCACTTTGTTACTTGGAAAATAAAACCCTTGCTCTGGTGACATTGAGACTGACAGTATGTCTAATAGATAAACTAATTATCAAGGATATGAACCATGTCAGCAGTTTGTGTCAGGTCAGGGGCATTTGTCATTAAATTTTTCCATGCCCTCATTTCTTTAATTTAAGAAAAAAAGGCTGTTTTCTGTTCACCCCCACCTCAAAAACAACACCTACATCACATCAACAACTTCATATTTCCTATGCCCTGTCCTGTCTCTCCATCCACTGTAGAGACTGCACACTCTTCCCTCCACTCCAACCAAAAAAAATCTCAGTGTGCATAGAGCACATCACACATAAATCTGTCACAGCATGACAAGTAATTGCTCCAAATGGCTGTCAGCATGCTGAGATGTGAGGAGGACACTGTGAGCAGAGATCTGAGACAAGAGGAGAATACCCTTCTCTCTTTGGCCAAGAGCCTGACCTCACATCAAAGTCTTCCCGGGACATGAATCAACACTGGAGCTCACGTTCTGACAAGGCTGAAGGAAGAAACCTGCACAGTGTTTCAAATCTATGCCAAAACTCAGGGACAAGGAGAGACCACATCTGTGTCCAGTTATTCCCAGGAGAGAGTAATGGATGTAAGTGATCATATGGTAGTATTAGACACAGGGAGATTACAATAACAATAGTGATGGCGAGCATCAGCAGTTGTCTGGTGATGGGCCGTTCATCATGTCAGATAAAAAGGTGCTCGACTTGCTGTCCATGTCACAACTTTAAACACAGGGACACGAATACAGTAAAAATCCATTAGTATGTCTAAATTATTAACAGCGAATTGAACATCACACGAAACAGAACATGTCACATTCATTTCATTAATGTGTCATATGATTAAAATGACATTTCACAAGCCCCTGAGGGATAATACAGAGGATTGACATGAGGCATGTGTAAGAGAGTGTGAGACCGAGTGTGTGTGCACATTATGACTTCCTGTAGCCAGCCTTTGAAAACAGCAACACCTCATTGTGTAGTTCTGGCTGACAAATAAGTTGTGCTTGAGTGAGCGCGGGACACAACATGAGAACACGTATACAGAGCTGTGGAGGACTAATGACACCACACACTGTAACAACACACACATTACCACAAATACCCTAAAGTGGATAATATTACTGTCCCAAAAATATTTAACTTCTAACCAAATGAAACGCTTAAAGCTGATGCATCACCTTACACACATGAGTTGATCTAAAGCGCGATGACAACAGCAACATGTTTAGACAGTGTTTACATTTTATCAACCCATCTAGCCACTTAAGTTAAGTGAGATGTTACATCTTTCGATTAGTTTTATGTGCTGTGACTTGAACGGAGTGGGGGGTGCAGCATATCCGGACAACACACTCTCCCTCACTCCCAGTCAGACCCTATAATCAACACCTAGATCCCTGACTGGGGGGTCTCACAGCTGTAACACTACAGCTATTTCTGGCCTGTGGAATGGGGGAGGGATGCAAGGAAGAGGGAGAAAAGGAGAATAGGGAAGCAGGGAGTGATTGGGAGGGGGGAAGGAGTGGACTGTCCCTTAAAGCTGCAGCTGGCTGCTGCAGTCCAGACAGGTTTTATGGTCATTGCCCTCGCAGCAGGCCACAACCCCCAACACCAAGGTTTCAGCTAATGGCACTCCCAGTCTGAGTGAAAGGGCAACTTGATTCTTGGTCCTTTTCCATATACGAAGAGGGAGTAATAAACAGGCATTTGGCCATTGAGCATTGATGGGTCTGTCTGCTTTGTGCATTTGTTTCCTTCCATCAGTGCAGGATCAATTAATCAATTAGCTGGTCAAGAGAAAATGAACAATTTTAGTCATTTCTCAAACAAAAATACTAAAGATTTGCTTCTGCTTCACAAATGTGAAAATCTGATGATGATGATGATCTATCTGGGTTTTGTACTGTTGGCCAGACAAAAAAATTACAGATGTCACCTCAGGTTTTGGCAAATTTTGATGTGGATTTTTCACATTTTCTGACATTGTATAGACATATAGACAAGCATTTAATCTAGGAATCAGAAACATAAACTAAAATTGAGAAAATAATAATGAAAAAAAAACTTGTAGTTGCAGCCCCCGTCCTATGCTCCAGACTAAAAAGAATTTAACAATAAGTCAAAATGACAATTTTTACAAATAAATAATGTTTGGAGCTCATTATTCATGTTTTTAAGTATTCATGGCTTTTAGGTGCCACTAGATGGCAGACTTGAATGTAGAAACAGATCTGGCCAGTTGACAACAGTATGTCTCAGATGACTACATGCTCCATAGAAACCAAACCAGACTGGAAATATAGTCTAGATGGTGCACATTTCACACTTTTTTTTTTCACAAACCACAGGGTCGACATGCATCTGTAAAAGTATAAAATTCCTTGACTAATTTGCTGTGCAATGTTCAAAAACAAGCTTGTTAAATGTATCACAACAAATCACAATTATGCATTCATATGAACCAGTTAAGCACAAAAGAGCTCCTGTTTGGTTACATAATAAAGGTAAAGAACGGCCCCTCAGTTCTCACTACCTGGCACCCACGTCTAGGTGACAAGCCTCGGAAATTGTGCGTCCACTACACGTCCTCACCTGCTCTGAATAGAGTGGCGGACTGAGCCTGGGTTTCCTGAAAACACACATTCCTATTTGGCGAGGTGAGAGAGACGTCTGAGAGGTGTGTGGGCTGAGGGCTGCTCACCGCCTGGCATGGCAGCAGCGGCAGTGTGCTGAAACAGTCCAGATGGAAGTGATGGAATGGCACCGTGTGCCAGCGAAGCCCAGCCTCCGCCAACAGCACTAAAACAGTTTCCGTTGTGACACAACTAATCCCCATCACAGTGCCAGAGAGAGAACCTAGCCCAGTCTGCCTCTTACCATCAGCCATCCACCTCCAGGCGGTGGGCCAGATGCTGCCAGTAAAGGATATGAACAGACAGTTCCTCTGAGGGCCTAGAAATAACTCACTTTAGGTGGTCTGAGACCAGCAGAACCACTCCGACTACAAACCTCATCTCACAAGTTTTGCATTACAGTTTGGTTTGAGTTAATCCTGGCTTTACCATGCACCAAGAAAACTCTCAATTCAGGGACAAATCAATATTGTATCTCCGACAAGCAGGATTCTCATGATCATACCTTGCTCAGGATGTAGATGGCATCTCCACGTTTGAAGGACAACTCATCTGGGAGGTCCCCTGTACAGTCCCATAAGCCCTGGTAGAAGTTGGGGTAGTCTGTGCTCTTATCAACTGGATGGAAAGGGGGGGGAAAGATGATTACAGATCAGGTGCTTTATTCTCTACTGAGAGTAATCACATTTAGTGTTCAGGTCTGACACAGCAGTGATTGTTTGTGTGCAGCAAAACCAACAGGAGGCAGTGGAGAGCCTAAAATAGAACTGGAGGGAGACAGTAGCTGTGTGCCAAGTTCATACAGCCTACTAATTATAAGCAGGTTTTGAGTATGTCATATGTTCACACTGGGAAAGTGATGGACACTATTCTCCCACAATGCAATGCACAAAAGAGATGGAGCAGCTAAATGGTGGAACAAAACAAAACGATTATTGATGGATGTTAAAAAGGTGATACCTTATAAACCAAAAAATAATAATAATATATATATATATATATATATATATATATATATATTGTCTAGGTGTATCTTTGT